TAAGAGGATCTCAAAAGTCTCAATCCGAAACACTCATCTGATCCTACAAAAATTACTTTGTCTTGCAGTGAGCAACCAAACACCGTCGTTTGAGTTTGGTATGGTGTCGTTCTTATCATCCTCTGCTTAAACCTCTCAAGCCTCGTTGAATTTCTTCCTCTCTCCCTCTACTGATCCCCAAACCAGAGTCTTCCTCAAAACGCACAAGCAACGATCACCTAAACTCTATTGAAACCACCATCCTCAAATCAAACAAAATTAAAATAAATAAATAAAATAGTCGGATAAAGACCCTTACCCTACGAAGAAATCTTAAAAATCATAAGCATAGCATTAATTTTTTGTACGTGTCTGAATGGACCTGAGATCATCCTAGTCGCTTCATCGCTTTCCCTTCGATCACTCTTTGGTCTCACATTGGTGAATATATATTTGTCAAAAAATTTTAAGTAGAAAATATATATATATAGATTGTACTTGTGATATGTGGATTTTTTTTTTTATTTACCAGATATGATAGGTCAACTAAGTTCTAATACTGAAAATCAGTAATCTCACACATCCTATGCATGTGAGAGAAAAACGTGAAAAAGAGATGGGAGAAAAGTGTGGAAGAATTTAATTATTTTATTTTGCATTTTAACTAAAATTACTATATTATTCTTATTATGTCAATGTTGTTGATGTTTTATTTATTTATTTTTTTTTTAACAATGTTGTTGATTTGAAGTGAAGCGTGAAACTAATAAAGGAAACTTAGCAACATTTTTGGTATTTTCACGAAGAAATACATTGTTGGTATTTTGAAGAAGAAATTGACAAGTCCCTTTCTCATGTACGAGAAAAACTTGTGTAGGGCTGAACATGTCACTGGACAATGCCTAGTAGCATTACGATTCAATCAAAATTTGACACATGGTTAAATTTAACTACAATTTCCTATTTACATTATAACTAAAAAAATATTATTTCCAACATTAAAACAAATAAAACAAAAACACCCACTCAGACTTCCTCCACCGGAAAAGCCTGGGAGATAAACTTTAATATGGGTTGATGTTGATAAGTTTCCTAAGTAAGGGATTAATTGGAATTGTATACACTTTGGTCATGAAAACGATTACATATAATTGAATCCATATTTTTTTTTTTCCAATGATGAATCATTTTCTGCAAACACAAAAGATTTCTGCTTTATTTTTCGAAGAATTAGGCTAACCATGACAAGAAAATCTATGAGAATGGAAAATATAAAGTTTATTCCCTTGAAGTTTAGTCAAATGATACCAACATTTGCGCCAGAGGGGTGAATTCTTAGATGATGGAGGACTGGTCCGATTGGGTGACTGGAGTCTATTTTTAATTTTACTAATCTTTATAATATCTTTTAAGTTTTTATGTAATTATATATGAAATCTTTAAAAGGTAACATAACTATGAAATCATAATTAAAATTCTTACCACATGTTAAATTTTAATTGAGTCATAGTGCTATTAGCATTGTCCAGTGGCATGTTGAGCCCCTCACAAGTTTTTCTCCTCATATACAGATATTGAAGATATGCAATATATTAGAACAACCGTTCACAAGATCAATAGTTTAGCATGTGAATTTATTATATATATCGTGTATAACAATAATCTTTTGATATCTTTAAATATTTTCGCGGTGGATAATTTTATTTAGCAGATTGTTTTTTATTTTTTACTTTATACAATTTGTTGCGACATTTAAAAAAAAAAAAAAAATTTTGTCTTAAGCTGCAATTGCATAAGTTGTCCGTTTGGTTCTTTTCTCAGAGTGCTTCATGACACTGCAAAAGGGCAGGAGAGTGACGCTGTGATAGATACAAGCACACGCTTAATTTTTCTCCTTTTTTTTTTCTTTTTTTTTTTTTTTTCATCTCGGTCCAATATCAACTCGTTTTTTTCTATGTGGGTCTTGGCATAGTTTCTCTGCTTAATATTTATCCATTTACTTTTATTATAATCAATAAATTTGGTAGAGGAGGGACGAACGGAGGGTTTCATCATTGCTTACATTAATCGTCCTCTCTCTTACAGGGAGGATAGGTGCCGTGCACACGACTGTTGCCAAAAAGCTAATTTTTGTTTTTGTCAAATGATATTCGAATAGGATTAAGATATACGTGTATATACACACACACACACAAAAATACAACATGTTTTTCTTTTGTTTTTTCATTGTTAGTATGTAGCCAAATAAAATATATTTCTGGTTGCTGAATTTCAATCCGCATAGTAAATTGAGCAAATAGGTTGTTCAATATTTAATCTCATGTCGTAGCCCAGTGTGTTTTGTTGACTCAACAAAAACTCTAAAAATGACACAGTTTTACTCTTTGTTTTAACACTCCAAGTGTCTGTACGTAGTCTTAACCAATAAGGCTAGCTTGCTCTAGCTAAAGTTGAGGTGGGTTAAGTGTTACATCCAACTAATCTCCTGTTATACATATAGTTTGTCTCTATTATATTCTTATTGGAATCCTCAAATTAATAAAGTGATAATATACAGAATTCATTTAGCTATTAGGCAAAAGTTAACAAGCTACTAATTCCCATTTTCTTGGTTGTTTGGATTTGTGTAAGCTAAAGTTAACAATAGTTCAACCTAGCTCATATGGAAATGCGTGTGGACATTTTATGATTAGGTGAAGATGAGTGATAAAGATAAATCTGTAATGGAACAGCAACGACGCCGTATAGTATTATTAATCTGTTATTTATATTATAGTTGGATAACATGATTTATATGTTTTGGACCTAGTTAGAATATTATAGTATTAATACATACATATAGATGTTTCAAAATAAGTGAATTTGTAATATCACATGGCAGTATAACAATCATGCGTACGCTGAAGATTTACTTGTTAATTAGTTCGACCCTACCATTTTCCTTCTTTGTGCAATATGTGCCTATGACTCGAGCTCGACGAAGCAAGACATTGATTCTGAGGCGATTACTTATGCTCAGCAAGCGGATTCGAAGATCAGCGAGTTATAGGTCAAGTCGTTCTCTCGTTTTTCTAATTCTGCATTTACTTTGAAGTGAGTTCCTTCATCTGTTTTGCCATCTGCACCAAAGCCTGATTAGAGTTCTAAGCCTGAAGTTTTTAGAAGATTAACTGCGGAGGAAATCCAATTAGGAAGAAAAATGGGTTGTGACTTTTGAATTGATACATTCCAAATGTCAATCGAAAATATAAGCAAATGACTGATGTTTAATTCAGTTGGTTAATAACATTTCTCTTTACACTTTCTTTAACTTTATTTGAAGTTTTTTTAGAATCTTACACCAATAATACTGAAACCGCAAAGTTAGGGACTTACAAGATTGAATAATAATATATCAATGCATGAGGATAATACATGCTCTACTTTTCTTTTGTCTGATGGAAAGAGTACCAAGCTTGAAGCTCCATGTCCCAGAAAGACACTACACTAACTGGGTGCTTTCTTTTCATGTATTGGTTCAAACTGTTACTGCCACAAAAAAACAAGTCAATTAATCCTAAGCGACAAGTGCAGGCTCAAATTACAAAAAGATGAATGTTAGGGAACTATTTCAAAATTGTAGCTTTACATAGACGTTCTGTCACATCGCAGTTTAACGTTAATTTTTATGCTAATAGTATAAAATATTATACCAAAAACATAAAATATTAGCAAATCTATGAAGAAATCTATTTTTTATAAAATCCTGCTAATATTTCTCTCACAAGAATATTCGTACACAAATGGAAAATTCACCAATTACCTGTAATACTTGTTTTCTTTTGCGAAGCCAATCCGATTCATTCGCCTGGTCCTATATAAAAACCAAACACAAAACAAATCCTCTTGCTAGGCCTCATGGTTCTCTTTTCATGTATTCTACTGCATGCCGTGTATGAATCCAAGGGTCTGAAAAGTACATTGCCTTTGAAATATTCGAAGTCACTTTTTATTTTGAAAAATAAAATAAAATTCGTACTTCCAACAGATTTTATAGGGTGGAAGTCTAGGCCTCTAGCAAAAGCTTTTAGTATTTGAATTTTCACTTCACTTTTACAGCCAAATAATGCAAAAATCTACTATGCTCTAAGTTTATTTTATAAACCGCAATATTTGACTGTCAGATTTTGATCGTTAGTGTTAGAAAATTCCTAATGTCAAATTCTTTAATTTTAAATCATGAACGATTCTTCAATCACCTCCGAGGGATACTTGACAAAGAGGTTTTTTTTAAGTTATCTTATCTCCTCTCGCTTTCCAGAAATGGCTGAAAGATGAAGGCCAAAGTGCCAGAAGGACCATTGAATTTTTCGGGGGAAAAAGGCTTGAAAACATGAATTTTGTCCTCGAAGTGTCTTCTTTTTGCAGGGAAAAAACAAAAGTTTGATTTGAGAAGTTGTCGGGTCTTTGATGGGGTCCTCCCACAACCAGTTTGATATGTATAGTCCTGTATATGTTACCCACAATTTGGTCGGGGTTCATGAAAATTGAAATGCTCAATTTCAGAAACCAAAATTCAGGTATCCTCTTGGTTTCTCTAGCACGACGACAAGTGCATACAACACACGAGGATAACCACACACCCTCTGCCCTTCAAGAAGAACTACCTGGGGATGCTACGTTGTCAATATCTCAGCAAATCATATCACATGTAAATCAATATCTTAGCGTAACATTTCAAATGTAGAAAAGTTTCTCTGCTAGTCTTTGGCCGTATTCAAAATTTCTTGAGACACCGCAATAAATATATCTTAAGTCAATGACGCGCTGATATATAAATAAGTTAAGCTAAACTTAATGCCTTATACATTTGAGATACATCATTGTGACATCTCGGATCTCTTCTATACCCTAGAAGCATAACATGGACAAAAACCCATCTCCACTTTCACATCCAGAAACACAAGAAACTTGTGAACAAATTAAAGACTGAATTTTGACAACAGGGTTGTCTTCCAAAACTGAAAACATGAACTCCTTGATTAAAAAGTAAGGAAATTTATTAGAAACAAGACAAACTAACCAAGGAAATTAAGACTAACAATTTACAGTTAACAGTTTTTTTTGTTTTCTCGAAATTTGTAATTTGTAATTACTTGGACCCAATGTCAGTGAGATCAAACCAGATTTGCTTGAACACCTTGATGATCATCTCATGGTACTCATCAGAATTTAAAGAAAGATAACATGCAAGTAGATCTTCCATATCCTTGGACGCCTTGATGTTGTTCTCCATGATCATCTCCACCATTGATTCCCTGAAATCCCTCTGGGGATCAAACGATGACTTGACAATTGCAAAGCTGTCGGAGATGCTCCTCCGCTTCGAGCTCGAATTCGATGACACGCTCCGCCGGCTGAGGCAGGCCTGGTTGATCTTCCTGTTGGAAATCCTCGGCGAATTCCGAAGGCGGAAGCCGGGAGATATAGCTGCATTTGATGAAGGAAGCCTTCTACCAGCGCTGTTGGTAATATTCCTCTGTTCTTTCTTCTTGTTCTTGCTCTTCTTCACTTCGCTCACCATTTCGCTGAATTTTGCCGGCTTGGTTATAATCGGAGGGAGATCGAGCCCGGAAAACGATTCCAAACCATCACCAGGCGCATCTACAATTCTCACATCGGATAATTTCATGGCCACTGACGCCTTTTCGACGTCGACAACGACGTCTTTTTTGCCGGAGTCAACATGGTAAGCGGAGAGAACGCGGTCGCACCGGAATTCAGGCTCACCGTCGTCGTCGAGAAACTCCGTCTCTGACGGCGGGTCTGGAGAGCTGTCGAAGGAGGAAGACGACCATGTCCCAGGTGGGGATTGGGATCTAGTCCAGACGGATTCAACGGTGGTGGAGTGGCAGCCGCAGCCGGCGGAAACAGAGGAAGTTCGGAGGTTGGGATCGGAGGAGGGAAAGGTGGTAGTTCTGTTCCTCGGTTTTTGTCTGTTGGATTTTTTTGGTGGTGGGTCATTGGTGGGGGCGGAGGAGGTGGGGCATCCGTGAGATGGGGCAGGCGCAGGGGAGGTGAGCTCTCTTGTGAAGTAGTAAGACTGTCTTGGGGAGTAGTGGAGGTGGTGGGGCAGTTGCAGCTTTGGCTTTGAGGGCTCTGTAAAATTTTTTGCTGGTGGAGAAGAAGCAGCAAATGGGGGTTGTTTTTGTTGTTTTTTCTTCTTGGATTGCTTTTTTCTGGGTTTGCTCATGTCTTTCAACTTGCTAAACCAGGAATTGGGCATCATATCTGATAATTTAAACTTGTGGTTTCCCATCACAACCCCTCTCTCTCTCTCTCCTCTCTCACTTTCTCTCTCTTCCACTCAGTAATCTGTTAAACAAAGGAAGGAAGGAAGAGATGAGTTTTATGGCACTCACACTCACACAGTCGCACTGCCGCTGATATTGAAAGATAAATAAGGGGGAGTTTTAGTGGAATTTTCTGAGGGCCCCTAGGGGTCCACCAAGGGGAAAAAGTTTGGTATAAAGAAAGAGCGCCAGGTGGAAATGGAAATGGAAATGGCTATCCTTTTGGTAGCCTGCCCATAAAGAAAGTTTGTTTTATTGTCAAAGTTACCATGATGACTATTTTGTTTACTTTTTTAACAACCTCTTTTGTATTTAGGATGGTATCATCACACATTTTTTTTTTTTTCTTACTTTTTACACATTTATTTTAATTTTTAATTATTGAATCGAATGAATAAAAATGATCAAAAAATATAATTAATAAAAAAGGTGTGAAAGATAAAAATAAATGTAGAGATAACATCATTCAATATTTATGTCTTTCAATAAAATGATGCCCTAAGTTATTGCCTTTTTAAAGAAAATGATTCTTTATTTAAAGTATTTTGACTAATATTGTGTAACAATCTCATCTTCTTAGATTTTATGGCTACTGTCCGTTCTTAATTTAACGATAAAGCAAAAAGCACAACATTAAAAGTTATATGACCACTTACCATTAGATTAAGATTGAACGGTGAGTGACAACAAATTTCATAGATCATAAGGTCCAGAAGAACAAAACTCTACATTGTAACAGTATTACCCTCTTTTATAAGTAGGAGTAAGGACGGAGCTAGAATTTTGTACATTGATGGGATAACATTACTTAAGAAAAAGGTTATCTCTAGCCAAGAGCCATATGCAGCAATATATCTTGAAAACTTCAAAAACCATCTCCACACAAAGGAGCTATATTCTAGTCAGCAAGCCAGGTCAGCTCCAAGTAAACTTCGAGCAGGTCCTCGAGCAGGCCACATTTAGCTCTTTGAGAAAGCTTTTATGTGGAGCTCACATGAGATTCCTCTCTCTCTCTCTCAATACACGAAACTATTAGTGTATAACCATATACTGCTGAAAATGAAAAAAAAAAATATAGTCTAAAACTAAACATTCAAAATATAATATTTTAAATAGCTAAAATATAGTCCTCATGGTTAAAGATGGCCTAAAAGAAAAATGAATGATAATAAGTTTAATGTGCTTCCTTGCACATATAATGTTTATGTCATATGGGGCTAGATTGAGCTTATTAATATGGTAAGACGTGGGCTAGATATGTCTAAAGTAAGTTGTCTTAGGCTATAATCCATCCCATGGAGGCTAAGCACAATTCTGTTCTTAAATGAAAGGTCGTATGTTCGCCTCTCATTAATATGAACTCGATATCTAATTATGATTAGTTAATTACCTGATTTTGTCCAAATTTTGCCCCGCTAACATTTTATTTAAAGAAAAAAAAAACTGAATCTCCCTCTCTTCTTTCAGTTTTGTCAGTATTTTCTTTGGGAGCTATTTTATCGTGACTGGGAGGTTGTTTCTGATAGTACCACAGCTTATCAGTGTCCTCCAATCCTTTTCCAACCATCCTGTCAAAGTGGCTTACATGCAGCCTGTGCCGGTAGGGTCCGGAATCAGTTTTGTGGGGATACAAGGGATCTTTACCTCTTAATCGTTTATCATACATCATGAGATTAATTTTTATCTGATACTATTTGTGTTTAATATTAAATAAAATCAAATCAAATGAAATGATTTTTGACTGCACGATGAATGACTAAGATATAAAGATCCTAGAATCCCCACGATTTAGATCCAGATGAGATCTAAATCCATAGGGTCCTAACCTGCACAGCAACACAAGGGACCCAGATTATCACAGCTGTTAGGCCTCTTTGGCCACATATGGATAAAATGGACTAGGATCCTCTTCTAATCTAAAGATGAGGATCCTCATGATCAAGAGATGTGAACCGTTGGATAAAAATCCAACGGTTATAATTATTATAACTTTAACGGGACCTCCTGTTTGTAGCCGTTAAATAAAAATTCAACGGTTCACATCCCTTGGTCATGAGGATCCTCATTCTTAGATTAAGAGAGGATCCTGGTCCGGATAAAACTACCCCAAAGGACAACCTTCTTACGATCACTGTTACTCTTGGACTTTGGGGACCTCTCTGAGAGTTGCCACTCATTCAACTTCAGAAGCAAACACAGATTTTTGCCGTACAATGAATGGCCATGAGCACTCGTTTTTATGCATAATCTATTGTTTGTTGGAGACCGACTGACCCATGTTTCTTTCATCATCCAAGTCCAACCCGAAATGAAAACCCTAGTCCAAGTAACAACAAAACCCTAAACCACAAACTCGGAGTAGTGCACAAAATGGGACAAGGATAAACTAGAAACCACTGGGGTTCCAAGAAGAGGATTATATCGGCATAAGTCCAAGAAAAATTTGTTTTTTGGTTTTTTGAAATTGGAGACCCGGTGTTGGATATGTGACTTAATATGTCGTTTTTTTTATAAAAATGGCAAGACTTGCTAAACACATTGCTTTGTTGTGAAATACGAGTTTTTATTTATTTATTTGTGTCAATAATTTTATAATTTATTCATGTTTAGCTAGGGCTTTGTAAAGAGTTGTATCGTATTCAATTTGAATATGATTTATAATTTTCTTATAAATAATGCATATATTTGTACTCATAAGTTTCAAAAACAGAGAAAAGTTGAATTTAAGAAGGAAAACAGGCCCTAAAGTTTGAGTTTGTAATCCAGTTACTCTTATCTTTTGTTAAATAAACTTGAGTTTTCTTATCATTATTGTTCCTAGCTAGCTAGGGTTTAAGGCTGGTTTACCCATTTATCATACAATTTTAAAGTTAAAAAAAAAAAAAAAAAAGAAAAAAAAGAAAAAAAGCAGAGACTTGCAGATAGGACGATCATGGTGAAGTTGCTTGCTGCTGTTGGCTCTTGGATGACCACACACACACACACACATATATATATATATATATGAGACAGTTTTAAAAGCCAGCCAACAAGCGAAACAGTGGGTGAAATGGGCATGGGTTCACATTCAGAAGGTTTGAGAGCCCTATAATTCCCCGTCAAAAAATATTGGTCCCTTTCGTCCTGCTGCTGCTGAGCCGTCTGAAAGTAACCGGACCAAACCCACAGCCAAAACAGTGAGTACTATATGGTATATACATATAAAGAAGAAGAGAGGGGACCAACTGGAATTTGTCCTTCTTAGGACAGGTTTTTGGAGTTTATCACAATTATTTGTTCGTGGAAGGAGGAGGAGGACAACAAAGAATTAAAACTCCAGGCCTGCCCAATATTTATGCCAATTGATATGTGTGAATTGTGGAAGTTTTGGGAGCTTTGGTTTTGGTTTTGGTGGGAATGTTTGCTCGGCACATGCAAGAGTATGGCTATATATACTTCTAGACAACTTGGTCTTGGATGGAAATTAGGGTTGATGATAGAGCGAGACAACGTAGTCCTTGGATTCATTGGAAATTTGGTTTAATCTCAACTATTGAACTAAATAAATTTATTATATTGGTCATAATGACCGCCTATTGATGAATTGACAACACAGAGGTGAAAGATTGATTATATCGCAAGGGTGGTGTTATCTACACAAATCTTTTTACAATCTACATACTCCTCTCAATTTCTGGTCGGATCAAATAAATTGAAGAAAATCAAATAATAGAAATAATTGATAATGTGTAAGAGGTAAAGCGAGATGTGTGGACAGCACTACCCATATTGTAATCATATATCTATGCCATATTGAAATGTTGATCATTTTAGCAATCGAGGTTTAAAAATTGATCATTTTGGACAATTTTCCAAAGAAAAACCTCATTACTTTCACTCACAAATGAGAACGCATATATCAGTCTCTGTAAAATTCCCAATTTGGAAATGGCTCAATTCCAGAAGTTTGGGCTTAGACTTAGGCCCGTTCGCGCTTATTGGGCTCTTTGAACAATTATATCCAAACACATTTTAGTGGAGGAGATGAGGAAGTTAGATTATTATGCCTCAGTCAATCAGGTACAACTACTCTTGTTAAGTGTTTAGTAGTTCATCTAATTTAAAATTGAAACTAATGTGGTTACTAAGTTAATCTTTTTTCTAAATAAATAGCTTTATATGTTAGTTAATGATAAACTAAATGGGCAAAATTAGAAACTTAGAAACAATGTGAATATATATACTGAGTTGGACAAACATAGAGACTTGATGGTCATTTCTCCAGCAATCATGGTCCCACCCCCATTTTAAGTGTCAAATTCCTCCCAATTCACAAACTAAATTCTTTGAATTTCTTGATACTGTGGCGTTATCTGCTGTGGATGCAAATTTCTTCCTCCTTGTTCTTGAATAAAATTGCACCTACAAAACAAATAACACCTTAGGTCAAGGCCAAAAGCCTCACGTGCCCATGATGAATGGGGGGCTTTGGCCGAAGAACCTCTGATGCCAAAGTTAGAGTTTAGAAATAAAAATGTTTGGAGAGTTTTTGGGAGTTTTTTAAGAGTGTGGAACTAGCTTTTTAGAGAAAAATGGGGTTCAGTATATAAAGCATGGCCGGTCCCCTTTGGAGAAAAGGTGGCCGGCCCTTTGGGGTATTTTTGGTGTGTAATGGGTGATAATTTGTGTAATGGGTGATTAATTGGTATAATGGGTGATTAATTGGGTGATTAATGGATTAATTAGGAATTAATCCATTAGTTAGCCTAATTAATTTAATTTATATGGAAGGTTTTGAAGGTTATGAAATGATTTCCTTGTAGAGGATATGGAGTAAAGATGGATGAGATAAATTTGAACTTGTTACCTATTTTGGGCACTCTTGACTCGGTTGATGGATGATTGCCCGCTGCTCGCACGTAGGAATCCCAGTATGCATCAAGGGTATTTTTGTCCTCTTTTATCCAAAAATTCACGTATCGCCTTGTGATTATTTTTGGCTCCACACTTATGTTTTCTTACCATTTGCTTAGTAAACGTTAAAGCAATCCGTAATCATAATCTCTAATACTTTATTTTAAGGGATTAATTTTGAATAAGCAAATATATGCGCGATGAATACCGACATTTTTCTCTCATTAAGAGGAGAGATATGGTGAAGATGGCAAAACAAATACACGAGACATTGGTATGTTTCTCAATTCAAGAGATGTGGTGAGACAAATGGAAACAAATATATTAAAGAATGAAAGGGATTTTTTTTTCATCTAATCGTGAAACAAATCGAAACAAAGAAAATGGAAACAAATATATCAAAGAATGAATGGGATTTTTTTTCTCTTTACAATCAAATTCGACCAAATTAGTGACCGTCAAATTTAATCAGCTTGCTACCACTGTTGTTGTTGCCGATGTACTCACATGATTCACCGTTGAATATCCCCCCTCCGCTACCTCACTATCCAAACCGGCAGCCCATCTCCTCAGAATCCTCAATAGAGACGCCGCCTTCCGCCTCGCCCTCAGCGTCCCCACCCCCATCAATTCCCATATCACCCTCTCAATCCCCGGCATTGACGCCAATTCTGCCACCATCTCCGATCCCCCTTTTCGACAGATTGTCACCAGCGTGGCCGCCGCGCTCTCCCTCGCCCTCTCCGACCCTTCTCTCAACACACTCCCCAATTTTCTAATCGCGCGATACGCCGCCGCAGTGGCCAGTAGTCCGCCGCTTCTCACCACAATTTCCAACACAGTAACCGCCTCCTCCGGCAGCCCCTCCATCACTTGCACGGTCATCTCCACCACCCCACCTTCCACCAATCTCGCCACTGCCTCCCTCTCTCCCGCCAAATTCAGTATCGCCACCATGGCGTCCTTTTTAAAACACCCGCGCTCGGGCCCATCCCTAGCCAGCTCCACTAACCCCTTTATGACACGTGTCTTCTTCCCGAGTCTCTTCCTGTACGCGTGCACACCTGATAAACTGAATATCGTAGCCGCCGCATTCCCCTTCGCCTCCCAGGTGGCCCCCGACCTCAGCACCTCGATAACGCCGTTAAGAGCTCCGTCAGTCTCCATGATCCGCGTTTTGTTCGCTTCCAAAATAGAAAGGTTAAGAATCGTCGTCACGGCGTTAACCTGCAGGTTCGGATGGGTCTCTCCCACGTCCGAGCTTAAGTACCGTACCAGCAAAGGAATAGCCCCGGCCTCCGCAATGCAGGCGCGACAGTCGGAGTCCGTCTTCGCCAGACTCCGGAGCTCGTAAACGACGCCGTTCGCCGCCTCCATCGACTGAGACACCGAAAGCTTGTTGACCAAAAACGAGCCGGTCATCCGCGCAGCTTCTAGCGCCGCCTTGTTCTTTTTGACGGCGTTGACCAGCCCCCTATTGTTCTCCGCGGTTTCGAAAGGGACTCTCTGCTCGCGGCACCACATGGCGATGAGATTTTTCAACGCGCGATTCGGTATGAGCTCCGTGTGGGCCAGGGCCTGACCTGTCTTGGGACACGTGTTGTGTCCTGATTCAATCCACAGCTTGATGGAATCACGATCGTATGTCTGGCCGGTGGCCACGGTGACCGGGTCCCGCATTAGCTCCAAACTGATCGGGCACCGAAAATCCACCGGGAAACTTAATTCCGATGCCGATCTACGGCGGATTAGGTCCGATCCCGGTGTGGATGCTCCAAATAACACGCACTTGCCGTAGCGAACGAGTCCGACGAGGGCGATGAGCTGCGACTTGGATTTCTCCTCCGTCTGGTTCTGGAACTCGTCCTGGAGGCTCTCGAGCTCCTCTCTGCAATTCGACGCGTCGCCAATCCCTAATTGCGCGAAAATGTCAGAGAGATTGGAGTGGTCGGGGACGATCTCGTTCCTGAGGCGGTCGAGCATCGAGCAAACCTCGCGGCGGAGGGCGTCGTCTCTCGGATCGACGAGCGATTTTGTGGTGCTGCGGGAGCACTGGCTGCGGAGAAGGGAGACGACCTCCCCGACATCGTCGTTTAATCGGAGCTCCTTGACGGGGAGGATGTCAAGCAAGGTGGAGAGGTCGAGGGTGAGCTCGTGGAAGCTGTTGGCGAGGGACTCGGTCTGGAGGAGGAGCCACATCCGGCTCCCGTTGGAGGAATCTTCCATGAGAGTCTGGATCCTCTGGAGCAGGATGTAGAGCTCCTGGAAGCAGAGGAGGGCGGAGGGGGAGAAGACGGCGGTGGAGCTCCTGATGATGTCTTCGAAGAGGATGGAGAGGAGGGTTGACCTGCGGATCATGGAGCGGGAGGTGCGGTGGCGGAGGAACTGGAGAGGCTCGAGGGAGGAGATTTCAAGGGAGAGATGGTGGAGGGAGCGGAGGAGGGTCTGGTCGGAGAGCTTGGGCGACATGAACGCCCCCGCCGAGGGCCGGCGTTTTGGCGGCAGGAATGCTTGGGGAGATATTGTCATGAGAAATTAGAGAAATTACAGAAAGGGGAAGGGGTTTGGGTGGTATTTTGTAATTTACAATTTATATAGGGGGGAAATTTGGAGAGGGAATTTGACTGTTTTTGGATGTATTGAGGAAAGTGATAAGCAATGGAGTTGGCGTGAGGTTGAAAGGGCAGGAAGCAGGCCTTTGTGTCGACAACAAAGATGTGACCAAAGTTGGAAGGTGCGGGGATATTGGAGCCGTTGGATGACTGGATAGAGACCACACAAATTAACCAAATGGCCAAATTGATAACATGTCTTCGCAAGTTTTGAACTGCCGCCGTGCCTTTTCTTATTTCCCAATTTTGTAAAGAGTTGTCAAATTTCTCCATAAACTATAATTTTAGCCGATTACAACGATGAACAACTTATAGTTTTTTTTTTCTTCTTCTCTTCCACTAATTCACTCCATACACTTGAACTTTAGGATTTAGTGGGGAAAATACAGTTTAGGAGAAAAATTAGCCAATTATAAAATTTCAGAATGGTAATCGACTAAAATTACAGTTCAAGGTGAAAATCGATTGATTATAAAAATTCAAACGTAATTAGATAAAATTAAACTTCAAAAGAAAATCGGCCATTACCTCTTTTTCTTCAAGTCTATCGGATATATAGATGTGGAATGCTATCATCATGGGTCTAGAAGAGTTTGGTTTGGGTTTCATAATGTGTCTCATAGTCATCTACAATGCATTCACAATTTCTTAAACACCTAAGCGTTCTGATGTAGGTGTCACAATGCACCAATAACTTACGTAGCTAGCAACAAGACTACCTTGGGATATAACTTAAGTATTTCTTATTCATTAATTCTAACTCTCCATGTTTTTCTAAATTTCTCGGAAGTTCACTTGATCTGTCTTTGAAAATCATGTTAACAACAAAGAGAGTCATTCCAAGGCATCCACAATGGATAAGTCGCCTAAACACGTTTTATGTCGGATTTCACAATAAATTAACACCTCACAATCATTCACAGCGCAAATTACGATCATTCAAAGTTAATATCTCACCGTCAAACTCGGTAAATTGATTGTAGCATAGTTTCATAACGACTAAAGTACGATTTATGCACTCTTCTCTCCACCGTCGGCACTTCAAACTAAATATTTTACCATTTACTTTTAGGGTTAGTGAAAGAAACAAAAGAGAAGCCCTAAAGTGACTACATCCTTTGCATATGGTCATCCACATCTGTTCAGCACTAATCATCAGATATGGCATGGCATGGCATCGCATCGCATTGGAAGGCAACGTCGGTAGGTGGAGAGTTGTTAGTGGATTTGGCTTTCCACCGTCACCCACATGCCATCTGCAACTGCATCATTTCGTTTGCTTCCCACTTTTCCTTTTTATCAAAGATTATTTAAGTTAGAAATCGGTTGGCACTGGCTTTTCCTTGTCCCGGACGTCATGGCGTTTTGATTAACATAAGCCACCATATACAAGTTTGTCCCCAAAAGGACAAATACAAGATATTGATTTAAACGAATTGATTGTTGCTTTATCTCTAATTACAAGTCACATTTCTGGTTTAATTTCAAGGTTCTTTTCATAATTAGATGGAGATGGGGGACAAAAGCAACAGAAGATTGTAGGGTTAAGATACATAAGGTTCCAAAACCCTAGCTTCAAGATAAAAACAACAGAGAAGATTACGATATTACTTGCATGTGGTCCAACATCTTAATGAATAGAATGTCATGTTTTCACTCATATGTCACGAGTTCAAAATTATCCTCCCCTCTTAACATATTGTAATAGTTTCGAATCCTCTTAATCTCCTTTTGTTTTCAATAAAATTTCTTCATACCGTCGAATTTTTTGTAAACTTCTTAAAATACGTATTTGGCCTAGCAAATTTCGTCACTTTGCCATAATAATAAAACATAAAAACCCTAAAATTAACGACACGACATACGTAAATCACCATTTCCTTACAATGAAGAATGACACGAAATGTGGCCGAAATTGGACATCGAAGATCCCCAACTTTAGAATTCTTCAAACATGTTATTCTTAGACGTACGCATGTCGAGTTGTTCCATGATTTCCCCCACTAATTGTTCCACATCATGCATACTACTTACATAATTTAGATGTAATGGTGCACCAAATTGTCGAGCTCTTGTCTTCAGCAACCAAAAGCTGAAAAGATTACCCCCAAAACCAAACTCAGTGAAATCCTATTATTATTTTTTTTCTTATTGTGGCAAACAAGTTAATAACTAATTTCAGAGTTCATTTTGAATTCATTTTAAAAGGACTGGAAATGTTTTTGGCGAAAATATTTTTAGAACCAATTATTTGTAAAAAATGTAAGTAAATCTTAGAAAAATACTTCAAGCATCTTTTAAAACCAATTTTTTTTTTCTTTTAAAAGCACTTGTAATCATTTTAAAACTATTTCCAAACGATTCATAAGATATCTTCACTTGTGCGTCTAAACCAAATGTGTGTTGGCTAAAATAATAAGCACAATTGCTCTCAGGTCAAAAAAGAATACGCGCTCTGTGACCTTCGTTCAACTTTCTACGAATGTTTCCATATTTTATGCCGTTGAATAATTAGTATTAGCTACATACTTTGAGCTAACTATTTTAATTAGTTATTAATTAATATGTGATTAGATTAATATGGCTGTAATGGTTGGTGACAACCACCTTAATGATATGATGATTGAAAGAAGGGCACACACCTGGCAGGCTGGTGCCTAATTATACAGCCAGCTAGATGGAATACGTTCTCTTTTTAAAGAACCTTTAAATTGAAGTATAAAATTAGGGTGTAGTTATCCACATACTTATTTTTACTTCGCACGTACTTTTTCTAATTTCCGACCATCAGATCAAATGAATCAAAGAAGATCGATGAACAAAAGTTAACAAAGATGTGTGGGAGTCAAAAAACGGTGTGTGAATAGAACTACCCTAAAATTATGAACTCCCATGTTTGCCACTTGGCCCTCAATAACTATTAGTTTTAGCAAAAAAAAATAAAAAATAAAAAATAAAATAACACTTCAAAAATCAAACTATAAAAGAATGGTAGTGATATCTACACACTCATTTTTACTTCTCACACACCCCTCTTAATTTTCGATTATCAGGATCGAATGAAGGATATGTGGAAGGTAAAAATGAGTGTGAATAGCATTATCCTAAAAAAAAACAAAGCACTTATGAATTGGTATTTGTCAGGTTTTGCGCATTGGAAAGCAATCAGCAATTAAAGTAGTTTACTTGCTTACTTAAAGCATAATAAAACAGAATACGGAGGGATTATTCCACCATTGGAGAATAGGTCTCTTATTTTGGAAGGAACAATATTCTAAAGAACTTTAAGATAGTTCTAAGAAGCTTTCTCAGCAAACAATAGTTGAATCGATTCGTATGCAATAACAATTTAGGGATTTTTTTTTTCTTTCTTCAAAACGGTATTTTAAGTGTTTTCACCTTTAAAATTAAGTATTTGGTAAACTTCTTCGTGACACTCCAACACATGGGCGTTTCGGGGCGATATGTCTTGCTATTGTGGTGATCGTTTCCAATGGGGTATCGAGTTTACGTGGTTGGAGTTGGATAAGCAATAAGTAGAAAGTAACACATGGCATATGTCGCTCTTGAGCTACATATAACCAATTTGTTAGGCTGCCCCCAACACATCAGCACCTTGAAGCCATCGAAAACGCACGACATGACAGTGCCAAGTTTCGTTAATTGCAAGGGCCAGCTGTGTTTTATGTTAAGTAGGCACTTAATGAATCAATTAGAGCCAGTTTTTTTGGACAATGCAATGACCTAACCAAACCAAACAAACCAGTATGATAAAGGGATTAGGATTCTCTCCCCTCCTCTTTTTCATTCCCTTCCATCCCCTCCTCTCACATTCTCTTATTTTGTCTTTCTCTTGCTATAAAAAATTAATATAAGATGTTGAAGTGGCTTAATCGTGACCATTCAGATAGGAGGGGAGGGAAAGGGAGGGAAATAAAAACTCTGATTTACGAGCATCAAAATAGAACCAGTATGTGGAACTGGAGAGAAACTGTCATAGGTTAGTGATAGTTGGTTACCGGTCTAATCAATATTTTTTATCAACAACTTATATGACATGAGTATTAGTGGTTTCATTTGTAGTCTATTACCTCATGGGTAACATATGTCGTGTAGAGAGAAACTGACAAGTGTATTGTATCATTGGCACATAATATCACAATACTAGTGTGCTCGTGTCATGAAAATCATTCTCATTAAGTAAGCATCATTTATGGTATGTTACCTATTACGTGTGGGGTGCCTCCTAACATGTGGGCTTAGTGCCTACTTAATTTGATCTCAGTAGAAGATGATGAGGTCACAAACTTGACATATCATCCATCGTAAAACAAGTAATTTCATTACTCTTAATTCTCTACTCAGTTATAAGTCTACAACACTTGGTATTTGGTCATGACTGTAAGCAATAATCGATCTCCTAAAAAGAAATTTCTATTCTTGATTAGTTAAGATTGCAGACAACTTACCATTTACCGTTTCTCCTATTAGTGAGCGTTTAAAGTGTCTAACCCTGCATAAGGAGCCGATTCACCTATTTATAGGCTATGAGGAGCCGATCTAAGCTATCGACATTTCTCTAAGTCATCAGTACAAGTAGGGGTCAGTGGCAAGACCTGTCTACTCAAACTTGCCCTCTGTCTATAGTAGGGCCGCCCGCTCCCTGCACAATATGGGCAGACATATCAGCCACGCCAATCAGTCTGGCTTGATAACCCACATGGTTGAGTGAGTGTTGCTCAGACTAGATAGGGCAGTTTAATATATGAGTGGGAGCAGTTGGTATAGCTAAGTTGCCGAAGTCGACTTACTCTGCCCGGAATAGTTTCATTTAGCAAAGAATTGCCTCCACTTTAGGCCAACCGGTGGAGTGGGCTTGAACATTCATTGTTCCAGGAAGGTGAAAATCATGGTCTCACTGCCGACGAGTGGGACACTCATGGTTGTGCATGACCCAGGTTGCTAATTGAACTCGAGCCAAACTATGCTTCTGCTTTTCTTTGTCACCCGGAATAGTTTCATTCAACGAAGCATTGCCTCCACTTGGGGCCAGCCTGTGGAGTGGGCTTGAACGTTCATTGTTCCAGGAAGGTGAAAATCATGGTCTCACAGCCAACGAGTGGGATACTCATGGATGTGCATGACCCAGGTTACTAATTGAACTTGAGCCAGATTTTGCTTCTACTTTTCTTCGTCTGATGCGTTGCCTACTCCAATGCGAGGTGAAGGAAACTCTTTGCGGGCCAAGCCACGAATGGACACTTCGGTTGAAATTGGGTTTAGAATGCTCGTCGAAGTGTAGGCTCTACCATGAATGCATATTTTTTTATGGACCTAGTCAGGAGTGGACACTGCTCTGCTCGCTAAGGCGAGAGAAACATTACCTTGAGGCCCAAGTGGAAGTGAAAATTGCACGAACACTCAGTTCGTGACTGCTTGCCGAGATGTTGTGGAAAGAAACATCGTCGCTTGCCCTCGTGTCTAGATGTGCTAAAGAGGCTGATTAACCAAAGTTATCTTTTGCGTGAAGGCGCTCATCAAATTTGCAACATACTAGGATACGTGTTAATCGTTATTCAGGGTGGAAGAGCTTGGATAGTAGGCGTCTCCATGAATAGTGGAAGTGTAGTGGACTTTGGGTTCAAAATTTGAGCCGAGATGAGTTAAATCTACGAAAAAAGGAGAAAACTAGGGCAAAAATACCCTTGGTTTAATCGCTAGTCCAACGGTCTGTCCGACCAGACCGACTTAAGTTGGGTACGATCAGAGAACCAAAAACCAATTTAACTGAACCGATCTGGAATCGATTGGGCCTCAAAAGTTGGCTAGACTGCTAGTATAGGCTGGGTTTGGTTGTGGGTTGGTTCGCTGGTCTTTGAGGCTCCATGCGCTAAGCTCTCGAGCTATAGGTTTCGGTATGTTGCGATGCAGCACAAAGCCTGGGTCTGGCTTTGAGCCACGACGTGAACTGCTTCTATAACGATTTGAGCTTGCTACTGGTAAATTGTGTGGCAGTGGAGATGTCTCACGGGCTACCAGAGTGGCAGCTGGGTTGCTGCTGCTGCATGTGCGGCAATTTAAGCTTTGCCTGGAGCTGTCTTATAAGCCACTGCTGCAATAACCACCGCTATCATAGCCGCGGTGGTGCTTTGCAGTCACAAAGTTGCTCTAATTGCAGTTAAAGCGACATAAACTTCATGCAAGCATATAGCCAAAACAAACAAATTTTTATGTGGTCTTATCCTACCATGCAAATTTTTTGTCTTTAAGATGGGCTAGGGCTTATGTGGTACTGTTGACCCTGAAATTACAAAATCTACGTTGCGCGCAGGCCGAGTAACTGATAAGCTAACTACGTCATTCGGTTGAATGCGGCATGTGCCAACTCTTCGCCCGAGCTCGACCGAGGAGTAAAATTTGTTGATGTTGCGTTAAGTGCGTTGCTGACTTCTTTATCTTGCAACTGCGACCGAGGAAGGAACAAATCTCTGCTTTTGGATTCTCGAGCCTGAAGACAAGGCTGCTAGTTCTGCGAAGTTCACAAATCGTCGGCGCCTGATTCGGTCACAGTGATTATATTCGTAAGAGTATAAACACGTCGAATCGACACCAGACTGTACAGACACAAGTATTCAAAGGTGATGTATGTTTTGATGGTGAAAGTGGTTCGGCTGTCAGAATGCCGAACTTTGAAACTCACTTGTGAGTATCCAATCATAAAATTATTCGGCGTCCAGTACGCTGAATGTCGTAACTCGTAACACCTTACTTCGCCAAGAAAGTTAATAAGATGACATCTGCTAATAAGGATTCGAAAACCCTTCTCGACCAAGACTTGGATAGGTAACCAATCAGCCTTGACGCAGTGCTGTTTATCCAAACTGAAGGTGCTCCTCGGTCTGCTAATTCTACGGTAACAGTGTTGTTTATCCAAACTGAAGGTGTTCGCCGGTTGCCTTCACAGTGCTATTTATCCGAACTAAAGATTTGTCGACGAGAAAAAGAAAATAAAAGGTCTCAAGATGTTTGAGAGGTTTTGCGCATGGCAGTTGTGTGTTCAATTGAAGGTCCCCAATTGTTGCATAATGTCTT